CCTTTCTCTCCCTCTCTTTTGATGAGCATATATAAATTAGGAATACGGTCACCTCGTACAGAAAGCTGACAAAGTGGCTTAAACAAAGAAAGGCTTTGGTTTCCCAGATGCAGGAAGTGGTGGTGAGACCTGAGGTGGCACAGCTGTGCAGTGATGCTGTCAGACCCCAGGCCCTTGCTCTCATGCTGTTCCGCCTTCTTGCTGTGTGGGTTCTCGTCTTCACGCAGGCTTGCTGTTGCTGCTCCAGACGGCACATCTGCATACAAGGCAGTAAAAGAAAGCAAGAGCTGCCTGGTGTGGCTCAGTGGTTGAGTACTGACCCATAGACTAGGAGGTCCTCCAGGGACCAGGAGGTTGCTGGTTTGATTCCCAGTCAGGGCACATGCCCAGGGTTGCAGGCTCGATCCCCTGTCCCCAGCAGAGGGTGTGCAGGAGGCAGCTAAATGATGTTGATGCTTCTCACTGATGTTTCTATCTCTCCTTCTCTCTCTCTCTCTCTCTCTCTCTCTCTCAAATCAATAAAAACCTATTTTTTTAAAAAGAAAGAAAGAAAGAAAGAGCTACCCTAGAATGCCCTCTCCCTCCGAGCAGACTGTGGCTTATGTCTTATTGGCCAGAATTGGGTCACATCATCACCCTTAACCTCTGGGGAGGCTGGGAAAGCAGAATTTCGCTTTTACAGTCTCTAGGCAAGCAAGGGAGTAAGAGGTTGCCAGCGGGTAATGGGTGGCATCTCCCCAGGGCCTGCCAGTAGCTACTGGTGAGTCCCCAGGAGCTACATTTCATAAGTTGAATGGACCCATGATGCAATTCTCTGCCCCATATTGTAGTAATCCTTCCTAATTTGCTTTGTAGGCTACACTTAGGTAGCTCTTAGACAACCTCAAAGTCCACCACCTGGAGCATCTTTTGCCCTAATGATTAAAGACGGCTCATGCACTTGGATCTTTATGTGACCCTTCAGGAGACTGCTCAGGGATCCATGAGCAGATTGGCTTGTTTTGATGAAATGTAACCCCTTATTTAAAGTTGGAAGGTGCATATTGTTTGGTTGATGTTTCAGACCACAGTCAGGAAATAAAAGAGCAATCAACAAATATTTCGTTGGGTGTTGACTAGCACCAGCCACTCTCCACTTAGAGGAAAGTGGCCACCAGGACTGTGTAGACTTTGAAGCTGAGGTACCTGCGCTGTGGCCTCGTACCCAGCATCCCCTTCCCCAGAGCACATAGCTGCTGGCAAGGACAGACCCAGCCCAGCATGTTTTCCAGCGATTGCTGTCTCCTTCCCCATAGCACCCGCTTGCCAGTCTGAATGCTTAAGTTTTGCCAACCTCATTTGCATGCTAATTTGCATGACTTTGCCCTGATACTCTCATCTAATGGTTGGTGGTGTGGAGCACAAACAGCAGCTCCATTGTCGAGGGCTTGTCAGGCCCAGCTGCTTTCTGCCACTTAGGGATGCTTCCCCAGCCATGGGCCAAGGCCTGGCCAGGGCTACAAAAAGACACACATACACTCCTTTTCATGACTTCTCTTCCTGAGAAGAGAGTCTTGAGTCAATTTATGCAAATGACCATGCAAATTTCCGCTGCCGACTTTATTACTGTGTCTTGTCAGAATGTGGATGCAAAATATATTTCATAATAAATGCACATAGCAAAGAAGATTTCAACAAGTGCCGCAGGGAACATCTCTTCCCTCGGGGATCCGCTAGGCAGTGGAAGGTTTTGTGCAGATGGAGGCGTGTGATGTACGGTCTGCACTGTGTGTCTGAGCCCCCGTTGACACTGCTTAATACCACCTTTAGAAGATAAATGTGGATGTGGCTATGAAATCTGGGCTTGTGATGTTCCTCGTGTTTTGTATAAAATGAAGCGCCTGCCATTTTTCATAAGCAGTACCGTTTGCCAGCAAGATGATATTAAAGGAATAAATAAGCATTGCCAGCTTTGGGGTGACCCAATCACAGCAGAGTGCAGCCCAGCCTCCCCAGAGGGCATTCCAGGAGGCTCCTGCAGCACCGCTCAGGAGGGGAGAGGATCGTGATGGCCGTGGACTGGCGGGAGAGTCCCCAAAGTCAAGCCTGCTGTTCATTTGTCTTGATATCCTCTTTACATCCCTGTGGCCTAGTTACCAGCAATCGGGCTCGATCCCCAGTGGGGGGCATGCAGGAGACAGCCGATCAGTGATTCTCTCTCATCATTGATGTTTCTCTCTCTCTCCCTCTCCCTTCCTCTCTGAAATCAATAAAAATATATTTAAAAAGTAATAATAATAATAATTTACTCCATACCTTATAAGTGGAAATGAAGTACAAAGAACGAATGCTTTGACCAAGACTCTAAGGCAGTGGTTCTCAACCTTCCTAATGCCGCGACCCTATAATACAGTTCCTCATGTTGTGGTGCCCCCCAATTTCATTTTTACAAATTGAACATAATTAAAGCATAGTGATTAGTCACAAAAGCAATATGTAATTATATATGTGTTTTCCGATGGTCTTAGGCGACCCCTGTGAAAGGGTCATTCGACCCCCCAAGGGGTCGCGACCCACAGGTTGAGAACCGCTGCTCTAAGGCAAGCTAGAAGAGGGATGTGGTCTCCTTTAGAACCCACCCCTTTGAGGGTCAGCCTTTCCTGAAGTTCTGGAAACACTAGGATGTTAGGAGGAATTATAAGCACAAAGATTCCCAGGGCAAAGAAGCTTGGGAAACGTTGGGTTACATGAAATTGTTCATGTTTCTTCAGAGCAGGACGTTTCAGAGCCTTTACTATGCCTGTGTGCTTTATGGCTCTCCACTAGGGGCTAGAACAAGCATGTCAAACTCAAAGGCTAACACGGGCCAAATAAGCGAGGCATGCGGCCCGCGGGCCACAAGTTTGGCATGCTTGGGCTAGAATATGCAGCCTCTCCCAGAAACACCTGGTCACAGTTCAACCAATGCTCTTCCAAAGGAACAAACAGAAATCCATAGTCTTAATCACAATGTGTAGGATATAAGTAAAAATTACTAGACATAGGGAGTAAAATTTATATTCAAGAAAAAAAGGAGAGGCTAGCTTTGAACAGGAGCAAAGAAGTACTTAGAACCTGGAAGGATGTAGGGATAAAGCCAGGAACATGTAGACAACTGTGCAAATACTGTACTTTTTAAATCCTGGCTCTGCCACTTCCAGCTGTTGACGCTGGGAAAGCACTCTTGTACTCAGTTTTCTTACCAGTGACATATGAATACTAATGAACATAACCCCTAACATAGGTTGTCAGGATTAAATAATGCATGTACAGCACTTAGCACAGTAGCTGGCAAATGATCAGTACTCCGATGTTTGGTTATTGTTATATTAGAGTGTAAAACCAAGGAAGGAATTGAAGTGGTTTATTCCTGCTATTGTAAAGTAGGATTTTAGGTCATCTTCTGAGAGTAATTTTTGCTGAGGATGTGGCAGGGGCAAAATAGAGGGGAGAATTCTATGCATGGAAGCAGGAGGTGATCAAGGACAAGTCACATGTTCTTTAAATAAAACCCATAGATTTACCATTTCTGGTGCTCGTGTTCCTTCTTTAAAGATTTAAATTTCCATCTTTAAAATTTCCCTTCAGCCTAAAGCATGTCCTGTAATGAGGGCCTACTGGTTACAAACTATCACAGCTTTCCCTTATCCGAAAATGTTTTTGTTTTGCCTTCATCGTTAAAGTTTTCACTGGCTATAGAATTCTAGGTTGGCATGATGCTTGTTCTTTCTTTTGGAACTTTAAAGATTTGTTCCATTGTCTTCTGTCCTACATTGTTCTGACAAGAAATCAGCTATCATTCTTGTCATTGTTTCCTTGTATATAATGTGTTTTCTATTTCTGGCTGCTGGTGAGGCTTTTTCTTTACCTTTGGTTTTTAGCAACTTGACTATGATATGCGTGGGTGTTGTTTTCTTTGTATTTATCCTGTTTTAGGTTCACTGAGCTTCTTGGTACTGTGGGTTGGTGTTTCTAATCGGGAAAATTTTTGACTGTTATTTTTTAAAATATTTTTTGGCTGATTTTGTTTCTATTCTTTTTATAAGAGCCTAATTGCATGTAATGTCAGATCACTTGATATTGTCCTAGAAGCTCTTGATCCTGTCTTCACTTTTATTACATCTTTTTTCTCTCTGTGCTTCAGTTTGAACAATTTCTTTTGGCCTCTCTTCAGTTCACTGACCTTTCCTACTTAAATTCGATGTATTTTTATTTTAGGTATTGTATTTTTTTTAGTGTTAAGATTTCATTTTTTTCCTTTTAGCATTTTCTTATATTTCTTGAAATTAGCCCATCATATTCACCTTTTCCTTTATATTTTAACATTTTATCAGTTATTTTAAAGTCCTGTCTGCTAATCCAATATCTGGGTTATCTGGGGTCTGTTTCTATTGAGTTGTTGTTTTGATTGTGGCTTGAATTTCCTGCTTCCTTACAATGTCTACTCCTTTTTCTATTGTGTAGGGGAGATTGTTGTAGGGATTCTTGGATTCTCTTACCTTCCTTTGAATGGTGTTGAGTTTTATTTTAATAGGCAATTCAATTATGGGCAGCTAATATTTTTGGAAGGGTTACTTACCATATTTAAACTTTAAGGTAGATTTTTTTTGTTTTTTCCCCTCAGTCATCTTAAGTCTCAAGATGACGTTCATTCTTCCAAAGCTGGCCCTTTCTGTCCTTGTTCCTGGGGAAACCTTCTCACCCAGTTTTCTCATCCCTGCCCTTTTATATCACTCAACAAACAAACAAACAAACAAAACAAACCCTGGCCTCATCTTGATTTAGCTCAAACTCACTTCCTCTGAGAGGGACGAGAAGGTTCACTGTTGAGAAAGTGGGAACCAGGGACAACAGAGCAGGACCCACCTGGCATTTGGCATGGGTGTCCCCCATTTTTCTGCAGTCACTACCTGGATCACTGAGCTTTTGCCCCTTTGCCCAAGACTTTTCAGTTTTGACCTGTCTGTGCTTTTCTCTAACAGGCAACCATTGGAATTGACTTCTTGTCAAAAACCATGTACTTGGAGGATCGTACGGTGAGTGCCTGACTTTAGAACGGGAAGGACAGGGAGTGCTCCTTTGGACCTATCACCTGGACCTTTAGCTGGGCACCCCTGAGAGCCCATGCCTGCCCCAGAGCTGGCAGTGCCAGCATCACAGAAGCAGGACCTTGCCCACTCCCCACCCCACCCCTACCATGAGGACCTGGCTGCCCCTGCTGACCCCCCTGCCCTCCCTGCCACAGGTGCGACTGCAGCTCTGGGACACAGCGGGCCAGGAGAGGTTCCGCAGCCTGATCCCCAGCTACATCCGGGACTCCACGGTGGCCGTCGTGGTGTACGACATCACTAGTGAGTGTGGGTCCTGGCTCCCAGGGGCTCCGGGGCCCGAGTGGAGCCCCAGCCAGTTTGCAGCATGTGTGTGTGTATATACACATGCCCACTCTTATTGTCTGAATGCAGGAAGGCAGGTGCCTGCCACTGGGGGGTTAGTTGCCTTTGAACACAGCGTGTTTTCCACTTCCCTGCCCTCCTGCGCCAATCATGGTTGTGCAGGTTGGCCCTGCTCCTGGCCCCTCTGCACCCTTGTTGGCCTTGGCTGCCAGAAAGACCCCTGCAGAGCAACTTCTGTGCCTGTGTGTCAAGGTGGGAGAAGACACTGGTCCCTGGGCAAGTTTGCCCCAGCAGCTGTGGCTTTGTCAGCTGGCATCCCAGCCCCTCACCAGGCTCCCACTAGTCCACATAGCAAATCATGACCCTGTCACCTTCCAGGCGGGGTAAATTCTCTCTGCCAGAGAGTGACTCAGCAATGCCAGGGGCTCTCCAGGGCCCTGGGGCAGCAGCTCCACAAACCCACCTGGGCCTCCTGTGGAAGGCCCAGACCCACTGGCCTGTGTGGCCTGTGCTCCAGCCCCTCCCGGGGTCTGGTATGCCTGCTGCCCCTTCCCACCTTTCCCCTCTCCCGGTGGGGGCTGTATCTCACTCCCAGTTCTATCCCCGCTTTCCACCTCCAGACCTCAACTCCTTCCAGCAGACCTCTAAGTGGATCGATGACGTCAGGACGGAGAGGGGCAGCGATGTTATCATCATGCTGGTGGGCAACAAGACGGACCTGGCTGACAAGAGGTAGGATCAGGGGCTGGCAGGCTGGGCCCACCCTCCACGCCTCTGCAACTCCTCCTGGACAAGGAGTTCTGGGGTGCCTGGGTAGCGAGCACCCTTTCTGCCTGTGCTCTTCCCATGCATCTTGGAAAGGTACCGGCAGGTTGCTGGAGGCTTTGAAAGCCCCTGGTAGACCCCTGCCCTCGTCATCTCTGAGGCCCCACCTCGCACTGCCGGCAGGGGCAGTTCCAGGGTGCTCCTCTGTGCGTGGTCTTCATGGAGCCCCGTGCACCTGGCTCAGCCCAGCAGTGCATGGTCTGGGAACTGGCTACAACCAGCAACACAGCTGCAGGCTCCTGCCGACTTCTGTTTGTGCTGTGTCTCTGCCCCATGACATGCCCGCACCGATGTGAGTGTGGGTCTGGAGGTCCTGGTCCCACGTGTTAACCTCAGAAGTTCTGGTCTGGCGCTGTGTCTGGATGTGACACTCTGAAGAGGCTGCTCCAGGGCACAGGGTTGACTTACCTACATTTGTCCACTTATCTCAGGGGACCCAACTTGGTTAAAGGTCATGCATTGTGGGCTTCCTGAAATATACTCTAACCATTTAAGGAATAATCTGAATTAGAGACTGTTTTGTTAGAATCCTCCTCCTGACGTGAAGAAAAATGGGGCTCGAAGCCTAGCTCCTTTGCTAAGTAGGCGTCTTGGAGCAGGCCCTTTAACCTCAGTGTTCTCATTCGGGAAACAGGACTGATGACACCACCCAGAGAGGCGGTATGTGGCCTGCAGCACTTTACACATGTAGTCTCTGGCCGTGGCCACTATTGGGAAAGGCAGCTATGGGACAGCCCCACCCACCTGCCACAGGGCCTGCGTCCCAAGGGGAAGATACTACAGAAGGAGGAGAGAAGGGGCGGCTGTGCCCTGTGTCCCCTTCATCCTGGTCGGCTCCTCCGCCCTGCTGGGTGGGCCCCTCCTCTCGGGCTTTTCCCTCCACCTCTCCCAGGGGCTGCTCTCTACCCAACTGATGTTCCCCTTCCCTCATCTTCAGGCAGATAACCATCGAGGAGGGGGAGCAGCGCGCCAAAGAGCTGAGCGTCATGTTCATCGAGACCAGTGCGAAGACCGGCTACAACGTGAAGCAGGTAGGATGCACCTGGTGCTGATCCCCGGCCCAGCTTGGCCATAGGGCCCACGTGTGGCTTCTGGCATGGTCAGCCTTGGGCTCAGCCCTGTCTCTCCCCAATGGGCTAGTGACTAGGTTGGGGTAGCCAATCAGAGTGCCCATAAACCCACCTCCCGGGGAACAAGCTTACCCAGAGGTGGTAACGCATGCGAGAAGGAAGGAGCACTGGCCCTCAGGGGGTGTCCGGAGAATGTCATCATGAGGCGCCATACAGCAGCCAGCCACAAGGCCCTGGAGCATGTGTGAGCGTCCAGTCACCAGCTTCCGGGGGGCTGAAAGAAGCACCGTTTCCCTAGCGGCTGGGGATGGGGGTGCAGGGGTTCATGCCTTGTGCTTGGCAGAGCTCAGGGGTTGCAGGGTCAGGCAGGCTTGGAGAAAGGAGCCCACCTGGGGTGTGCTGGAGCTCTCAGGAGGGGACAGGCCTGGTGAAGCAGAATCATCAGAGGAGCCATAGAGGGTCCATATTCCCAAGGAGTCCATGGTGCAATGCAGCAGGTCAGCGGACTTGGGTTGGGAAAAGCACGGCTTTGTCGGCACTAACTTCTGAGTGCTCTGTAGTGTTGCTACCTTCAGCGATGAGTGTAGGCAGCAAGCCTGTCCCAGCAGCAGCCCTGTGGCTTTATCACTCAGGGATCACGGCTGTGTTCTTATCGCTTTGCAGTGTGTTACGGTATCTTGAACCTGACACCCCTCACTGCTTCAGTATCACGGTGGTTATTAGACACACTGCCAGCTCTTGCTGTTTTACACGTTCATGCTTTGTCACTAGTTTGTGTCTTTAAAGATCTTAGAAGTGTATGTCAATACTAAGTGGCTTCCTTTATGCTCCTGTGTAATTGATGTCACACACTTAGAAGGCGTGTGTAGGTGTCACCAGACTGCCAGAGGGGTCTGTGGTTCACAGAAGGTTAGGAGCCTCTGCCTCTGAGAAGGAGAGGACTTGGAGAGGTGACGAGGAGGGAGGATATCCGGGCAAGGGGAACAGCATGAGTAAAGGCGGGGCAGGAGGGGTGCCTGTGGCCTGGGCAGGGGACACCAAGTGGGGAGCATGGCTTGGCTGGGGTGTCACTTCTGCCCGCCGTCCCCATTGGTGCTCGGGGAACACTAGACAAGCTGCCCATGCAGCATTGGCCTGGGTGCGGTGAAGATTCACGCCACATGGACAGTGCCAGTGGCCGTGGGGAAGGTGGCAGAGGAGCAGAGACAGAGTGGGAGCCCCAAGCTCCAGGACGCAGTCCCCCCCCAATTGGACTACAATGTCTCCATTCATTCGCACCCCCTTCCCAGCCTCCTTCATTGTAAGGCCAGGCTGCTATGGGGTCTCCTGGAGGAGGGAGCTACCCGTCCTTGTCCCTGGCAGCATACAGGAGACACTGGCTGCTGCCCTTTGCACCTGAATGGAAAGTCCTGGGGGGCGGGACGCAGAGGGCAGGCAGCGGTCAGGGTCAGGGAGACACTGATGCCTCCATTCCTAGAATGGTCTGGAGCCCCACAATGGTCTGAGCAGGAGTTCAGTGTGGTCAGTTGAGACCCTGTGTGGTTCAGAGGGGTCTCCAGGACCCTAACCCAATCATATCTGCTCTCAGAGACCCACGTGTGACCCCCAAGAGCTGCCTCCTAACTGTCAGCTTGGCCATTGGTAGAAGCTGTGACCATTTTGACATTCAGAGCAGGGCTGCCTGGGTCAGGGCCACAAAGGAAAGCTCAGAGGAGCGACCCAGGCCCTCTGCACCCTCGCCCGATCCTGCCTGCCCCACTCGGAGCCCTTTCTGCAGCACCCACAGGGCCCACACCCTGCCCGGCAGGCCAGTGGCTGCACCACTCAGGCCCTCACTGCCTTTGGCCCTGGGTGCTCCACGGGGCCCTCACCCAGCCTGGTGCTCCGATAAGGCTGGGCTCCGGCTGAACCCCGGACTAAGACTCACCCTGTCCTCAGAGAAGCTGTAAGCCCAGAGCCCACCGAGTTCCTGCAGTTGGTGTCCGTGGGGAGAAGGGGAGCATTCAGAATCTTCTGGTGCCTTGTACTTCCGCTCTGTACTTACTGTCACCTCCTACCTGACACTCCTGTGCACCCCGCCCCAGCACACATACACCCCACACATTTCTCCCCATGCACTTACACACTTACACACACAGAAACCCCACATGTGCACATACACACCGCACACACTCCCCCACACACTTACACAAATGCACACACACACAGACACCACACACCACACCACACATACTCCACACAGTATGCACATCACACACCCATACCCAAACAAACCCACCATACCACATTCACGCTCCTGTGTTTTTCTCTCAGAAGAGTCTCTCTGCTGTGACTGGGTGGCCCTGGCTCCCAGTGCCCAACTGCCTTGACGCCCGTGAACGTGCAGGACTCCCTGAGGGGCTTATTTGTCTCAAGGGCAGGAGGGAAGTTGGTCCCCACACCTGATCCCTACGTGGGCAGCGGGACAGAAGCCCTCGTAAGGGCTGTCTCCCAGGGTCTAGGTCAGGGGTGGGCAACCTTTTTGTGAGTACGTGCCAAAAACCAGCAAAATCTCTGACTCAAAATTCTTCTGCGTGCCAACCCTAATTTTTTGAGAACATGTTACGCCCACTTGATATCTCT